CCTGATACCAAGAAAAAACATTTACTTTCGCCACTGCTATTCAACAACTGGAGGTCCCAGCTGGTAAAATAAGGCAAGAAAATATAGGTTAGGAAGGAAGATAAAAATTGACTTTTTTCATAAACAATTATCAAGAATATAGAAAATCCTATGGAATCTACCATAAAAGCTATAAGAACTATTAATTAATTTTAGCAAGCTGACAGAAAAAAGATCTATATACAAAAACAAGTCCATTGCATTTTTAAATACTAGAAGCAAACAACTGTAAAATAAAATTTAGAAAACTATATCCTTGACAATAGCACCAAAAATATAAAATCCTTTGGCAGGAATTTAACGAAATTTATATAAGACCGACATACTGAAAAGAGCAAAACATTGCTGACAGAGATCAAAGACCAAAACAAATAGAAAGACATTGCAGGCTGATGGACTGAAAGATGATATTGTCAAAATATCACTTCTCCCCAATATTATCTATAAATCTACAAATTTTGACTCCTGGTCAAAATTTCAGGAGACTCTTTTGTAAAAATTATTGAATTCTAAAATTTATATGAAAATGCTAAGGATACAGAATAGTGAAAGCAATTTTGAAAAAAGAACAAAGTTGGGGGACTCACAATACCTGATGTCAAATTAACATAAAGTGAATCTATATATATGTATGTATTATAAAGCTAAGTAATTAAATAATGACAAATGTATCAACTGAACAGAATAGAGAGGTTTGAAACTGACCTACATTTATCAACTGAATTTCCACAAAAGTACCAAAGTATTTTAATAAGGAAAGGATGGACGGATATATGCAAAAAATTAACCCTGTTATCTCATACCAAATGCAAACATTAACTCAAAATGGATCATGACCTAATTGTAACAGTGAAAACTATAAAAGTTCCCAAAGAAAACAATGGAGAAACTAATTGTGACCCTGAGTTAAGGAAAGATCTCTTAGATATAATTCAAAGAGCATGAGTCATAAAAGAAAAGTTTCATTAAGCTGAACAACATCAAAATTAAAAACCTTTCATCTTCAGCAGACATTGTTAGAACAAGACAAATCATAGACTAAGAAAAAATATTTGCAAAACACGTATCTAATAAAAGGTTTATACTCAGAATATGTGAAGTAATTTCTCAATTCAATACTAAGACAAACACCTAATACGTAAATGGACAAAACATTAGAACAGACACTTCATCAAAGAATATATACAAGGATCACATGAAAAGATGCACAACTTAATTAGTCACTAGGGAAATGTAAGTTAACACCACAAATGAGGGACAACCACATAGACTGAGGAAGTAAAATGTAATCCACTGTAGGTCAGAATGTGGCACAAATGTACATAAAGTGCTTTTGGGAAAGCAACCTCTGAGAGCCAATTTGCAAAACAGTTTGGTGGACTCATCACAATTTAGTTTCTTCCACTCATCAAAAGACACTGATAAGGAAATGAAAAGACAAGCGACAGACTGGGAGAAATATGCTAAAGACATACTATATCTGACAAAGTACTCAGTCCAGATTAAATAAAGAATTTCTACAAATCAATAATGAAAAGACAAATAGCCTAATAAAAATGGATTGAAAGCTAACATAGTGAGGAGTAAGTGAAAGATGGAAGAGGGACCCCTTGGGAGCAGTGGAAATGTTCTATGTCTTGGCCGGCACGATGGTTACCTAAGTGTGTAAGCTTACTAAAAGTTCAATTTAAACACATAAAATCTGTGGCTCTCACTATATACAAATTTCACCTCAATTTTAACAAACTAAAATTAATACATTCAAGTTATGCATTTATTTATTCTTTTTAAATAAGCCTATAATAATCTTTATTTCATACTATTTCCACACTGGTATAGAAATAGTAAATTAAAAAGTACCATAGTGGTATAAAGTATTATTAGTATTACCTCAATAAATACCTCTTACACGTCCTTAAACCACCTCTTGTGAGTTTCAGGGGTTCTCTCTTGTTTCTAGTGATCTAAGGTTTGATGTAAAAGTTCAGTGTTTACCCTATCCATGTCCTTTGTTTTACATTTACATTTAAATAAAACCCTCTATTAGTCTCTCTTTTAGTCTCTCCTCATTGCAAGTTCTCTCAATTCTTTAATAAAATTAGGTATCCTTTTCCACACTGTTCACTAATTATTACATTGATACATGATACCTTAGAGATGAATGGCCCTCAGCACAATATTTTCAAAATCCTTCCCAATAAGGGTCAGCTATGTATTTACCAACTTCTGTGGTTATAAGAGCACACTGGGGGAGTGCCTGGGTGGCTCAGTTGGTTAAGCGTCTGGCTTCGGCTCAGGTGATGATCTCGCAGTTCGTGTGTTAGAGCCCCACGTCAGGCTCTGTGCTGACAGCCAGCTCAGAGCCTGGACCCTGTTTCAGATTCCATGTCTCCTTCTCTCTCTGACCCTCCGCTGCTCACACTGTCTCTCTCTCTCTCTCTCAGAAATAAATAAAAAACATTAAAAAAAAATTTTTTTTAAAAAGAGCACACTGGGCTAATGTCTTTAGGAATTTCCTAAATATTCTTTTTTTAATGTTTATCATTTATTTTTGAGAGAGAGACAGAGACAGAGAATGAGTGGGGGAGGGAGAGAGAGAAAGGGAGACACAGAATCTGAAGCATGCTCCAGGCTCCAAGCTATCAGCACAGAGCCCAACTTGACTATCAGTACCTTGACTAATTTCCTGATTCCAGACCACCTAACATACTTCTGACCACAAATTACCAAAGACTGCCTGCCTCTGAACTGACTGCCACTTTGACACTTTTCAGAGATCATCAGCACCTGAGTTCCTTGACCGTTGCTCCAATACCAGAAGAGACCCTATGCAATGTCCTCCACAGCCCAGTGGCACAAGTCCTTCAAACTCTGTCAGGTTATGGCATCAATAACTCACAGGAATCTTGGAAGAATAAAATCTGGCTTCCATCTTTTAAAAAGTCTTAGCTCATATACTTTTAATGAAGCCCATAGAATTTTAATCCAATGTGATGAGTAAAAATAGATCATAGTCCGTTAAAATAAATGACAATAATGAGAAAAGAAGGGGGAGTCAGACAAAAATCAAGAGTCAGAGAGATGGGCAGCGGAAGGAACAAAGAGACAATGGGGCAGAGAAACACAAAGATGAGAGAGACAGAGATGAAGAACGAAATAGGGAACCAAAAAATGAAGAGTTGACCGACACAGACAGAGAAAGAAATAGAGAAATGAGGAAGCGATAAGGAGATAAAAGAGACTGGACAGAGACAGAAGGAGTGAGAAGAGGCACAGACGCCAAGGATCCTAAGACAGAGAAAGGAAGAGAGGAGCTGGCCCACTTTTCTGTCTCCCTTCCCAATCATCTATCCATTATGAAGAAAAAAAAAAGGACCAAAAACAAAAAAATCATGGAAGCTCCAAATGGAACTGGAATGAGTGACCTGAGGCTTCTATTTCAATGAGCTCAGGGACAAAGGATGGCAGTTGTAGACATACAAAAACAGCCAGCACCTCTCCAGCACCTTGTCTGTTCCTACATTCTTTCTCAAGCCGGCTTGAGAATTATCCACACTGTACAGAAGAAATGTAATGTGATGTAATGTAATGGCTTCTGAACCAGAGGAAGGAACCTGGCCAGCTCTATGCCTTCCCTTCTCCCCTCAAGCCCTAACGACTCTTCCTCCTTTTCCTTGTTCAGATACTCTCGACCCTAATACCCCTATCTTTCAAGTCCCACCGCACCCACCCCCTCCTTTGTCAGGGGCAGAGTCTCATCCACCTCTGTCATTTGTGCAGACAGTACAGGGCCTGCTACATGAAAGTCATCAGTAAGTCCATTAAATGAATTTACTCTGATTCTAGGCATATAAGTATGTACACACATTATACACATACATATATTACACATGTATTTACTACGTATATTTATGAACAGAGTTTGTTCATAGTACTAGACAGAAGTGTTCTAGTAACTTCTCTGCAGATCCATTTTCCCCAGTGTTCTCAACCACACTGATGTCGTCATCATCCAAACTATTCACCCAGCGCAAACTCTCTCATGTAATCAGTAAAGCCTATTGATTTTATCTGCTAAATGTCTCCTAATTCATCCGTCATGTCATGTGGCCACATGCCAAAAGAAAAGACAAACCCTTTGGAATGGTCTCCCTAAATTTTTCCAAACAAGTCACATTCTTCATGAGATACCTTCAAGAGAAATCCGTAAGAAAATAACTCCCCATTTCCTTCACAAGTAACATCAAATTTTCTTTTTTTATTCTTTTTTTAAGTTTATTTATTTCGAGAGAGACAGAGACAGTGCAAGTGGGGGATAGGCAGAGAGAGAGGGAGCCAGAGGATCCCAAGCAGGTTCCTCGCTGCCAGCACAGAGCCCAATGTGGGGCTTGAACTCACAAAACTGTGAGATCATGACCAGAGCCGAAACCAACAGTCAGACGCTTAACGGACTTCGCCCCCAGGCACCTCAACATCAAATTTTCTGTTCTGATACTGAGAAATTTCCCAATTATACCCAATCCACCACCTCAATCATTTCCCACCATTCTCCCTCATCTCTAACCACATCAAGGTTCTCATCATTCCCTAAACCCTTGTTTCCCCCTCTATCAGGTCTCTTTCCACGGACATTTTCATTTACTTCTCACCCTCCTTTCACCCCACTTCTCCACATTGGCATCTTTGAAAATTCAGCTCAAATTGTGTCTTGTTCCTCAATCTGATAATCATCCCTAGGAAGAGTTAGTTTTTCATCTCTAGGAACACACATGAAATGTATATTTATTACAGCTCATATTACAAAATATATGTAATTATTTAAGTATCTTTCTGTTCCATTTGTCTAGGGGTTACACAGATACCAACAAAGTCTTATTGACTTCTGTCAAAATCCCAGGGCTTATCATTGAACTTGTGTGCAGTAGGGACCCAATAAATATATGAAGACTTAATAAACATACCTTTCTGTGCTTTAATTAATTGCTTTCCAATTTCTAGAGTCACATAGGCAGTACCATTTAGAACTATGTCAGTTATGGTCTTCCAAGCATTAGGAGAGAGTCTTTCACTGGGAGAAATAAAATTACCTGCTGCGTTGTTTATCACAATCTAATAAAGCAATAGACAAGTTATAGAAATTTTTAGATAAGGAAGAACATTTTCCCTCAAGAGTTTTTACTTCTGAAACTTATTAATCCAAATAATACCATTAAGCTAAAGTTGATAGACTGCTATGAAATAATACCACAAGATTTGGTTCAGTTTTACTTTTTTTTGAGTCTGTAACAATTTCCTGTGTTATCTACCACATTTCAGAATCCTCTATCTCAAAATTAGGGTAAAATCTATCATTAAGAAAACAAATACAGATTAAGGATATCTATCACTTATCTATTTCAAGGAATCTCAAAATGTCTTTTAACTTCTGGTGACATTCTGGCTTACTTTACCCAATGAAACTCTTGCTTGATAACACGTTTCTTCACTATTACTAAAGATTCTACCTAGCTCTATTAGTAGATTCAATATTACTGATCTGTTTGAAAATATCTTTAACTTAGAAGAGTGCTCTCTCTGAGACTAGTGAAGGAAATCACTTCTTTCCCATATTGGAACCAAACAACAACAAAATACTCATGCCCAACTCAGGTCTTAAAAGGAAAAATCTGGAGTATCTTATTGATTTCTTTACTTGTATTATTCTCCTCTACTGACAGAGATAATCAAAAGCTATTAGGAAAAGCAAAGAGCATGAATCATTTAAACTATTGTGCTGCTGGATAATTGCTCTAATTTCATAATCTTATTAAATAAAGTGAAATCAAGTTTGTTCTGTACAACTGTAAATGCATTTTTTAAGTATTTCTGAAAGGAAATGGTGTAGCAGTTCACCTAATCTGTTACCTGCTCTGAGCAGAGCTGGCTCTTCCCTGAGGATAGAAAATAGATGCTTCTCAGAAACACAGCACTTGCTCACATACATATTTTACTTCCTTAGTGCATCCTTAGTACTCTGCTGGGTGTTATCAACATCAAACACCTTCTGCTTCGGCCTCATCAGCACTGCACTTACGTCAGGATGTCCTGCGACTTTGATCAGTTCTGACACGGTGTTTTGCACCATTTCAGGATCCCTCACATCACACGGAATTGCGTGAACCTGACAAATAACGAAAAAGGAATCTGACATTTTTTGGACATCTTAAACCAGAAGCATGAAAAAGTTACTTAGGGATGTTTTATTTCTAAATCTAAATTACATAACTCTTTAACGTACCTTATTTCCAGTCTGGGAAGAAATTTGTTCTGCTGTATCTTTCAAAACATCAATCTTTCTGGAAATAAAAACATGGTACTTTGCATGAATTCTGAAATGACTTATTTTTCTTTTTAATTACATAAATTAAAAATAAAGAGAATCTATAGCTTAAACAGATGCATTTTTGACAAAATGCAAAAGCTGTATCACTGAAATCAGTTTCAACGAATTTACTTTCTAAAAGTTAATTTAGGGGCGCCTGGGTGGCTTAGTCGGTTAAGCGTCCGACTTTCGCTTAGGTCATGATCTCGCGGTTCGTGGGTTCGAGCCCCGCGTCGGGCTCTGTGCTGACTGCCAGCTCAGAGCCTGGAGCCTGTTTCAGTCTGTGACTCCCTCTCTCTCTGACCCTCCCCTGCTCACGCTGTCTCTCTCTCTCTCTCTCTCCTAGAAATAAATAAAACATTTAAAAAAAATAAGTTAATTTAGTACAATTTTTGTATACTTAATACTCAATTATTGAATTATTTACTTTTAGACTAGTTGCTTTATATCTACTCATAGACTTAAAATTATTTCCTTAATACAAAAATACTGATTGAAATGGGACCCATGCACCCCAACAATTATAGCAGCACTATCAACAATAGCCAAATTACGGAAAGAGCCCAAATGTCCACTGACTGCTGAATGGATAAGGAAGATGTGGTACACACACACACACACACACACACACACACACACACACACACACTGGAATATTACTCTTGCCACCTGCAATGATGTGGATTGTGGGAAACAGAGCAGCACCATGAACACAGGCGCATATTTGCTCAGGCTCCAATATTTCTGAGAAAACTCGAGATTGCAGGGTTGAAAACAACCTGAGAGGACTTGACTGAAATGCCCCTGGGAATGTGGCCTGTTCTTTAGCACACAAATAAGGATGTTTTACTTAAGGGAAGCTAGCAGTAACTAGCACAGTGCGTTCACTCCCTCTTTGTTTCATTCATCCTGCCAAAAAGACTCCTATTATATCTTGTTTTTCTGCTGAGACCATCTTGCACAGTGTATATGGTGTGTATGTGCTATAGCAGTACCAGATGTACATTGTTGCCATAGTTCACTAAGCTCTTGTAGCTAATCATTGTTGATTCATATCTCTGTGAGGGTATATATGAACATGCATAATAAAGCTCTGGACCTCGGCTGTCAGCTCAGGGTCCCCTGTGCCTTGCTATACTGTCATCTCTTTTCTCAGTTCCTTTGCCACCTGAGGTCCTCGATCCTTTGAGGTTGACAAGTGGCGCCATAACTACCCATCGAGGAGTGATCGGCAAGCATTTTGAACCCTACAGAATGTGGTAAGTAGGAAATATAATAGGACAATTACATACTAAGTTTTCTGGGTTTGCTGCTTTAAGACATCATTTTTTAAAGAAATATGGAACAGGGGCACCTGGATGGCTCAGTTGGTTGAGCAACCGACTTCAGTTCAGGTCATGATCTCATGGTTCATGAGTTTTGAGTCCCACATTGGGCTCTGTTCTGACAGCTTGGAGACTGGAGCCTGCTTCAGATTCTGTGTCTCCCTCTCTCTGCCCCTCCCCCACTCACACTCTGTGTCTTTCTCTCAAAAATGAATAAACATTAAAAAATATCTTTTGAAAGAAAGAAAGAAAGAAAGAAAGAAAGAAAGAAAGAAAGAAAGAAAGAAAGATCAAACAAAAGTTACTAGTCAACATGTTGAGAAATGTTTACAGACTGTAACTGAATATAACCCTTGGTTCCCAGAAGGCTCTTTAGATTAAAAAAGACAAACAAAAAACCATGGATTAGAGTTAAAAATAATGTAATGAAGGCCATGTGGCAAGAGGAATCTATCCCCTTCGACTTTTGGCCAATTTGGGTTTTAGTGCAGGTTGTTATTAATACAACGGAGACTGGGAATAAGCCATCCCCTGCTGAAGTGGCCGAAGAAACGGCCACCTCTGTACACACTTATAAATTAGATGTTACAAAAGGCAAAAACAAAAACAAAAAAACAAATGCCTTAAAAACTTCTTTCGCTTACAGATATGATCCTTTGCTGCCTTTGCTTTTCCCCTTGTTTTTCCCACCCCTCATTCTCCTGTTCTCCTACAGGAGTTTTAGCACAAGAAGGCAGACCTCTGGAATGGGTCTTCTGGTGAAAACATCTGGCACCATAACCAGGATCTCTCCCTTATAGCTTCAATTGTTATTCAAGGACATAAAAGAGCTTTTCAGGTTTTAGGATTTGATCTGGCTTTGATTGTTTTACCACTTGTCTCGACTACTTTTAAGGATGTGTTCCCTCTCTTTGACGGGTTACAACTTGCCTTTGCAGATTATATAGGATGCAAAGGATGTCACTAACCTTCAGGGAAACTATGGGATTTTCTAAAGTGTGCCCAATGGATTATTAACCACAGTTCATGATTCTCCCATTCCTAAGGCACCCACCTATTTTATTGATGTTTCTTCTTCTGGCAAGGCTGGTATATGGGGTCCTTTTATACGCGAAACTGTACAAAGTCCATGTTTCTGCTCAACAGGTTGAATTGGCTGCTCTTTTACATCTCCTTCACGATGTCCCAGGACCCCTTAATATAGTTTGACTCAGCTTATATAGTGGGTTTGGTGGGCCCGCTGGAAACTATATTTATTTCCACTACACATTCAACTATTAACCCTTTGTTGCAGGATTTACAATTTGAAATCCAATCCTGAACACATCCTCTCTATATCACTCATATTCATTCCCATTCTAATCTCCCAGGTCCTCTAGCTTTAGGAAATCAAGCTGCTGACCATCTGACTGCACCCATTCATTTTCTTTACTTCTCAAGATGAGCATTCACACTTGCATACTAATGCTAACTGCCTTCATGTACATTAGGAATTCCTTTAAGAATTGCAAGACAGATAGTGTCTACTTGTCCTGCTTGTCAATCTTTATATTTAACTGAACATCCATCAGGAATTAACCCCCGGGGCACCACTCCTGATTGTATTTGGCAAATGGATGCTACACATTTTCCTGTTTTTGGACTCTCTTCTTACATCCACCTCACTATTGACACCTTTTTTGGTTTCTCTACATCTTCTCTACTTACAGGAGAAAAAGCAGGATATGTCATTTAATTTAATTAAGAAAGTCTTAATTTACTTTCTTGCTTCTCTGTCATGGGATTGCCCATTAGCATAAAAACTGATAATGGACCTGCTTACACAAGCAAGTGCCTACGTGAATTTTTGGCTGAATGGCAAATTCAACACGTTACTGGTATACCCTTTAATCCTCAGAGACAAGCTCTAGTCGAACGAGCTCATGCAACCCTTAAAAGGCAATTACAAAAAATTATTAAAAACAAGAAAGGAGGAATAGCCCCCCGAGATATCATGGCACAGGCATTATTTACTTTAAATTTTTTTATTTTACCTCAGGGTGAACCTTACACTCGAGCTGATACCATTTTACTCCAATAACCTCCCATACCCAAAACACTGCCATTTGGTTAAAAAATGAAGACAATCACTGGCAGCCTGGGAATCTTATTACCTGAGGCCCCAGGTATACTTATGTCATTCCAGGTGGCTCCAGTAGACCAATTTGGATACCTCTCCAAAATATCTGGCTCAGGATAAGCCATCAAACCGGAGGAGAATCCTCACCCATGTCAGGGGCTGAAGACTCAACCCCCAATTCTGGAAATGGCAGCCTTGACCCTGAAGAGACCCCAAAAAAGGAAGATGGCCTCAAGCACTCCTCCAACTTGAGAACAATTGAAGAATCTCGCAGTGTGCTGAACGAGTTTTGGAGGTGACTAAATCCAGTAAATCCCCTGAACATTTGTTTCTAGCCATGATGGCAGTTGTGACCTGTACCTTGGTGGTAGGTGAAAATCACACCTATTGGGCTTACGTGCCACATCCCCCACTATTGAGATTGGTGGAATAGACTGAGTATGGACCTACTATATTTACTAATGATTCGTCTTCCCCTGCAATGGTCATTCACTCCCCCTGTGAAACCAGAGGAGGAAGGTGCCCTCATGAATATTACTCTAGGTTATGAGGTTTTACCATTATGTTTAGGGCAAGGAAAAATTTGCCTCCCTTTAAGCCATCAAATGTGGGCATATATTCTTCCACCTTTGAAATCTGAAAGGACCCGAATGGGTTTAATGACAGCATTATCATTTAACTTTAGTGAAGTGAACAATGCTGATACCCTGGGCAAATCAGATGACCCGATATGTAATAATATCTTTTATAAGCATTATGTTTTTAAACCTATTCATTGGTCTCGATGTCAAGGCCCTCATGGTAAAATTCTCTTGTTAAACGGTTATACTATAAGATTGGGGACCTCATGGAAAGTTTCTTAATAATTGTTCTGAAGATATTAATAGCACAGTATGTGATTATTTTTCAGATGTTGCTTGGAATAGTACTGACAATGCTACTTACAAGCATCATCATCCTAGAGGGTTAATGGCGTGGCATGAAGGGGGACTAGCATCCCCTCATCCGCGGTTACAATTAAATGAAAAGCACTTTAGTCCCGAACAATGGGATTTATGGAAAGCTTCTGCAGCGCTAGAATCATTAAAATTTTATGTTGGGAACTTTTCAGGAACCTCTCAATCAGAAAGTGATTATCAATTTATATATAACACCTCAATTGCTGTCCAGGCTTGTGTCCACCTCCCTTATGTATCTGCTATTGGCAGAATTGATATTAACCTCAGTTTTAAAAGTACTGAATGTATTCATTGCTGCTTGTATACTTGTCTTAACCATACTATCCCTTTTGACCCTAAGAATGATACGATTCTCTTTCTACGGGCACGTATAGGAGTGTGGCTCCCTGTAAATCTAACCAGGAATTGGGAAGAAAACCCTGTGGAAGGCCTATTATCAAAAGTGTTAAATGGATTGGTTTCCCGAGGTCGACGTTTCATCGAGTTCTTGGTGCTGGTGATCCTGGGGCTTATTGGAATTGCCATAACTGCTGCAGTTGCAGGAGTAGCACTGCAAACTTCTTTACAAACCCATGATTTTGTAAAAACCTGGCAGGAAAAATCACATAATCTATGGCTTACACAAAATAAAGTAGATATAGACTTACAATCTAGGGTTAGTGAATTGGAACAAGCTGTGCAGTGGTTAGGAGATCAGTTAGTCGATTTACAAGAAGTGTTTCTTAAATGCAATTGGAATTCTAGTTCAGTTTGTGTAACCCCTTACCCTTTCAATGCCACTAAGCATTCCTGGGAACAAATTAAATATCACTTGCAAAATATTCAAGGAAATGTATCTTTGGATATCCAGGCTCTTCAACAAGAGATATTTGATGCATTTAAGGATTCTATCCCTGAAACTCAATATGGGCAACTGGCCTCTGATATAGTCCATGCATTAGAAGGGCTGGATCCTCACAGATGGTTGCAAAACATTATCCATGGCCTTGGTGGCTCCTTTTTTGCTATTCTAAGATGCTGCCTTATTTTCCTCACAGGATTCTGCATCCACAAAAGGGGAGTGAATGCACAGAGTAATCATAAAGTGCTTACTGCAGCTAAGGCTTTGAAAAAAGAAAGGGGGAGCTATGGGAAACAGAGCAGCACCATGAACACAGGCGCATGTTTGCTCAGGCTCCAAGATCTCTGAGAAAACTCAAGATTGCAGGGTTGAAAACAACCCAAAGGGATTTGACTGAATTGCCTCTGAGAATGTGACCTGTTCTCTAGCACACAGATAAGGGTGTTTTACTTAAGGGAAGCCAGCAGTAAATAGCACAGTGTGATCACTCCCCTCTTTGTGTTTTATCCTGCCAAAAAGATCACTATCACATCTTCTTTTTCTGCTGAGACCATCTTGCACAGTGTATGGTGTATACGGTGTGTAGTGTACGGTGTGCACATGCTATAGCAGTACCAGATGTACATCGTTGCCATACTTCACTAAGCTCTTGCAGCTAATCATTATTGATTCATATCTCTGTGAGGGTATATATGAAGATGCATAATAAAGCTCTGGACCTGGGCTGTCAGCTCGGGGTCCCCTGTGCCTCGCTATACTATCATCTCTTTTCTCAGTTCCTTTGCTGCCTCAGGTCCCTGATGCTTTGAGGTCGGCAGTGGATGTTGCTAGAGAATATTATGCTAAGTGAAATAAGTGAGTCAGAAAGACAAATACCCCAATGGTATTGCTCATGTGTGGAATTTAAAAAACAAAACAGATGAACATAGAGAATGGAAAAAAAAAAAAAAGAGAGAGAGAGGAAGCAAACCATAAAAAACTCTTAATAGAGAACCAACTGAGAGGGTTGCTGGAGGGGAGGTAGGTGGGGGGATGGGCTAAGTGATGGGCATTAAGGAGGGCACTTGTTGTGATGAGCACTGGGTGTTATACGTAAGTGATGAATCACTACACTCTGCTCTTGAAACCAATATTACACTATATGTTAACTTACTAAAATTTAAATAAAAACTTGTAACATGAAAAAAATTAAATAAATTTTCTTAATTACAATAATTTCTGTTCCCTTGCCCAAGCCTGCTTTAGAAAGAAAATACATTCATGATAGAATGTAAGCTTATATTACACTACATAAATTCTGTTATGTATAAAATTTATGTTAGATTTTAGACCAAATTTATGGATATAAAAGCACTGTATGCATTCAGTTTCATACTCTTGAAAGAAACATGAAAAATAAACCATAAGCATAAATTATGTAGTGTTATAAATAAGATTGTAATACTTGTAAAAATGTTACAATATAAGAAATGTTCTGGCCAATTTGCATTAAAGGAAATATCTGAAATAAATTCCTTCAGCCCTTTGTAAATTATATTGTGACTTGTCATTTAGATTATTATTCAATCTATCTAAAAAATTTACATTATTCAAAATAGGAGGAAGGTGTAGATTTCTTGACCAGTCTTAAAGTTCTACACTTACATAGGCATAGGGCCCTAAAAATAGTTATATAGTTACAGGGCCTAAATAAGGAATTCCATTTACATGGCCTTATCCTTGCCGCATTTATCATAAGAGATAGCTTGAAATATCTGCCCATCTTATAGAAAATGGAAGACTATATCCATTACCCTAGTATAAGGCTAACTATCCTTTGAAGCAGTAACTATAATCACTCTCACTGAAAAAAAAAAAAAAAGCAGCCTAAATACAGTACTTTTTAACTTAAGCTTCACATACAGAAAAAAAAAAAATCTATCACTGAATTTAGGAAACATACACATCATCAGTTCCATACTCACTCATTACTGATCTTCCTCGACTTAAAGATGGGGTTACATCCAACAAACCCAACATAAATTCAAAACACCATAAGTTGAAAATACATTTAATACACCTAACCTACTGAATACCATAGCTTAACCTAGCCTAACTTACACACATTAGCCTACAGTTAGGTAAAATCATCTAACACAATGCCTGTTTTATCATAAAGTGTTGAATATCTTACAGAAACTTATTGAATACTGCACTGAAAGTGAAAAACGGAAGGGTTGTATTGGGTACAAAACGGTCAGAAGTGTATCGGTTATTTACCCTCACGACTGGGTGGCTGACTGAGAGCTACAATTCACTGCCAGCATCATCAAAGAATATCTTGCCACATGTTATTAGCCTGGGAAACGTTCCAAATCCAAAATTTTAAGTACAGATCCTACTGAATGTGTACTGCTTTCACACCACTGTAAAGTCGAAAAATTCTAAACTGAACCAGTGCAAATCAGGGTCCCATCTGTATTTCTATCATTACAAGTATAACTGATCTCTCCAAGGACATTTATTTATATAATCTAAAGGATATTTCACAGAAAATGATAACAAAAATCAAAAAACTCTGGCATATACTGTTTTCAATACTACGGCACAGAAATGTTTTATATAGACTCTTGGCAGGCAACTCGCTGAGCGTGACTTACCGGCTGGCTATCACACACTGAGCACCTAGGCTGGACAGAAGCGTTGTCATTCCTTTACCAAGGCCAGTACCTCCCCCGGTAATAAACGCCACTTTTCCTTGAAAACTATTAGGTGGTAGCATCGGTTTTTGAAGGGGTGGGAAGAATTTAGACTGAAAAGCTTCAATGTTTTGATACAATATTTTTGTTCCATAACTGAAAAACTGAAAGGGAAAAAAGATTAATTGAAATTTTCACACATACATTTCCACAACAGATGAAGTTCAAACAACTTAACACTCAAGTTTACTATTAATCAAATTCTTGGATTAACAAACTCACTGTAAACATATTGGTATTGTATGTAATCAATTATTACTTTTTTTCCCACTGGAATGTTAAGTAACACAGTGGAATGGTTAAAAGCAGGGACTCTGGAGAAAGACTACATAGGACAGAATTTTCTCCCTAGTTGTATAAACTTCAACAAGTGAGTTAACCTCCGTGTGCCTTAGCTTCTTCTATAAATGAAGAGAAGAACCTTAATCTTGGGACATTGTAAGTATTACATGAATTAACGTAAGTAATATGTTAATAGCTAGAACATTGTTTAGCATATACTAAGTGCTCTATAAATGCTAGGATTATTATTTACAAGGGTTTTGCTTAAATTTAACTGTAAAAAGAACTGACATAAAGCATATTCATCTTTCAATAAGAATAACTTGGATAAAAATCACATTCCATCTTTGAATCACTGAAGAAAATGATTAGCAGTCCTTGTAAGTTCATTAAATCAAATGCCTCTTCCCATGTTATCTTCTGGATATTAAATTTAGAACAGATAACTATTTGTTATATTTAAAATAGGGAAAAATAAGAACATTTTACACTAAAAATATTTGTATTGCCCTATCTTAGGTCTTACAACTTACATTCTCACATTACTTGTGAAAATCACTGCATTTTCTCACATTTAATTATAAAAACAAACTTTAAGTGTTGAACATAATAACAAACAATAAAGAGCCAATTTCATTAAGTGCTTATCATGTGTCAGGATTCGATATCTTCACCACCCCGTGAAATAGGTATTATTTTAACCTCACTGTACAGGAGGGGCCCAGATAAGTTAAATATATTGCCCAAGTCACAGAACCAAGATTCAAATGTGGTCTGACAGGCTCCAAAGCCCTCCCTCACCATTACCCAGTATATTTCCTCTCCCTACTCTCTGAACTCCTATAGAGCTTAATGATCACACCAAAAAGGCATGAGATAGTCCCCCATCAGGTCATGGTTGCAAGATTAAAGCTCCACAATGTATCATCTCCTGCTAGGCTATTCCTGTATGCTAAGTGAGTTGCAATCAGTTGGTCTGGGATATCTAGAAATTTCTCCTAAGGAAATAATTGGAAATGTGGTCAATGAGTTAGGATAAGGCTGTTTATCAACTAGAAATTACACAAGAAAATGCTTGATATGATGTTAAGAGAAAAAAGAAGTATACAATATGTTAACTGTAAATAAAAATATATGCTTGGGAAAAAGACTAACAAAATAATAGTAAGCAGTAGATTCAATATTAATCATGTGCCAACGTCCACTAAAGACTTCAAATGTGTTAACAGCCCTATAAGGTAAATTCTACTGTTATCCTCAATTTACAGATGAAAAAGCTGAAACACAGGAAGGTCAAGTAACTAACTTTTAAAGACAAATAATAAGTAGAAAAGACTTTACTCAAACCCAAGATGTGTGATTTCAGAGTCCATCCATATCTTCCTTACACAATTACTATCTCTACGTGATAAGATTATATATGATTATTCTTGGTTTTTGTTGGGTTTGTTTTTAGTATTTTTGTCTTTTCAATAAGTATGATTTGCTTTTATAATCAGGAAAAACATGCTACTGAAACACAAAATTTGAAAATATGTATAAAATAATTGGTGAAGATAAATTTATAAATCTGATTATGCTCCATGCTGGTCATTGTATATCCTTTAGCTTCATGTTGACAAAGTGCTTTCTTTTTGTATCCTTTTGCCAGAGCATAATAATCCAAGCAACCTACAATAATCCGTCTCTACATAAATGGCAGTTTTACCTAAGGCTGCCACTGCCTCCAGGAATATTACATTAAGATGATGGAATAGGAAATTTGCACAAGTAGGCTGGGGAGTTTGTCATTACTCACAGATAATGAAAAAACTGTGTTTTAATTTTCCAAAGGCTCTGAAATGAATTTTTTATTTATTTGGTGTTGATTTGTATAGGAAATCTGATGTGGTGCTTTACAAAAGATAAATTATGCAAAATATTTGCATATAACCATTCTTTTACTTATCTTACAACATTTTCTCAACTTCTGCCAAATGGTAGAAGAATACTGAGGTAAAAATAATCAGTTTGATTAACAGTCCCTAATAAGTGTCTATAACATATCAGGTTACTACTTAACACAAGGCTTACCTGCTGTATTTTATTTGATTAATCAACACTGATCTTTCCCACCAGACCAAAAGTGAAGAAATTGATATGCTATTTTAACTCACATTACCTTCTGATAATACATAGCATATACGCTGAATATTAAATTCAAGCCATCTATGTGCCTACAAACAAGCTGTTCATTTCAATACTAAGACACATTGAGATGAACAGATCTCACAGAATCATGTTGTATTTAGTCTCCTATTTCTACAAGAAAGGATTCTGAGTAATCTGAAACAGCATTTTGGTCATTTTTAAAAATATTTTTTAATATTTATTTATTTTTTGAGAGAGAGACAGGGTGTGAGTGGGAGAGGCTCAGAATCTGAAGCAGGCTCCAGGCTCTGAGCTGTCAGCACAGAGCCTGACGTGGGGCTCGAACTCACGAACTGTGAGATCAAGACCTGAGCCCAAGTCAGAAGCTTAACTGACTGAGCCACTCAGGCACCCTTGACCATTTCTTTTTGAGTCATAAAAAGTAGATACAAAATAGACTTTTAAGTTTTCAAATCTTGCTCTGTGCTTTTTCTATAAATAAGTTATTTTTGAAATAGAAATAATACCTTTCATATCAAGACTGAGTTCTCTGGATATCTTTAAAAACCAAATTCTTACAACCCTCTCACATCTTCCATTTTGGCAAAAAAAAAATTTACTTTTTAGAATTAGAAGTTCTGGGGCACCTGGGTGGCTCAGTCAGCTAAGCGTCCGACTTCAGCTCAGGTCATCTCGCAGTTAGTGGGTTCGATCCCCGTGTCAGGCTCTGTGCTGACAGCCAGTTTAGAGCCTGGGGCCTGCTTCACATTCTGTATCTCCCTCTCTCTCTGACCCTCCCCTGCTCACACTGCCCTCTCTCTCTCTTTCATAGATAAATAAAACATTAAAAAAAATAAACAAATAAATAAAAAAGAATTAGAAGTTCTACAATCTCAAAAAACAAATCAGTTATTATCTGCCTCTATACTCACAACTCTCCCACATCATATAAACAATATCTATGTCCCTCATGTGGTCCTAAATGATAGCATCTAAACTCTGGAAAAGTGATTTTACTTCTAATTCTCAGAATGGCAATTCTTTAAGAGTCTTGACTGTCTCCTCCCCAGAGGATGTGGACTGTATAGCAGCGAGATTTAGTCTTAAATTCCCTATGTATTTTGACTAGTCTCAACTGTCTAGAATAAACACCTACAACATAGGTGGATTGGTGATCCTAGATCAGATATTTTATTAGGCCTGCCCAATGTTTTAAAAAATTTTTTCTAAGTTTATTTACTTTTTTTTAATGTTTTATTTATTTCTGAGAGAGAGACAGCATGAGCAGGGGAGGGTCAGAGAGAGAGGGAGACACACAATCTGAAACAGGCTCCAGGCTCTGAGCTAGCTGTCAGCACAGAGCCCGACGCGGGGCTCGAACCCACAAACCTTGAGATCATGACCTGAGCCGAAGTCGGAAGCTTAACCGACTGAGCCACCCAGGCGCCCCTATGTTTATTTACTTTTTAAGAGAGAGACAGAGTGAATGTGAGTGCGAGAGGGGCAGGGAGAGGGAGACACAGAATCCAAAGCAGGCTCCAGTCTCTGAGCTGTTGGCACAGAGCCCTACGTGGGGCTTGAACTCAAGAACTGTGAGATCATGACCTGAGCTGAAGTCAGATGCTAAACCGATTGAGGACCCAGGTGTCCCCCAATGTTTTAAAATTTTTGAGCCAGTATTTAGATACTGAATGAATTCAGATAAAAATCAGAAGCTCTACCAACAGTGAGGTCCAGTTTCCAATAAGGCTGAGTTAAGACCACTTGAGACAAGGCCTGAGCTCTGCCCAATCCCTGCTCACACAAAGTAAACCCTTTCCAGTTGTGCAACAACTGTCATTTATAGGGCCTGCCAGAACTTGAGGCACCTGAGTGCATGATTCCTAGTCTAAATAAAACCCAAGAAACTAATACAAAATAGAAAGAGGAAACATGTTTTTTCTTTTTTCTTTGTTCTTTTTTGAACCAAAGAGAAGTTTCTGAAGTTTCATATAAAACAATCTTCTGTAAAAGTTAATTGTTTAATGTCTTAGGTACACTGTTAAGAAAATCCAGTTCCTGGGGCTCCTGGGTGGCTCAGACGTTAAGCAGCCAACCCCGGCTCAGGTCATGATTTCACGGTTTGTGGGTTCAAGCCCCGTGTTAGGCTCTGTGCTGACAGCCAGCTCAGAGCCTGGAGCCTGTTTCAGACTCCGTGTCTCCCTCTCTCTCTCTGATCCTCCCCTGCTTGTGCTGTCACTGTCTCTGTGTCTCTCTCTCTCTCTCTCAGAAATAAATAAAAACATTAAAAAAAATTTTTTTAATAAAAAGAAAATTAAAAAAAAAGAAAATCCAGTTCCAAATCTGTAAAAATCCTATAATAACAGACCCCCACACAGAAGTTTTGGGGCTAAAGAAGGTCATATTTAAATACCTCTTAGCTTAGTTATCTCACTATCATTGTCACCATTACTAATCTACAGGGCCCCCTGCATTAAAATCCCATACCTCAAAAGCACAGATGTTCTCTAGAGTTGAAAATACAAAAATTAAATTCTTTACTGTACCATTCAAGTTGGACAATATGGCCTCAACCTACCTTCCTAGCCCTACTTCTTATTAGTTCCACCACTCAGAGGTTAATTCTATGCTCACCAACCACTCAGCATTCCTGAAACTTGCCAAGAACTTTCACCTTCTAATCTTTGCTCCT